TACAATATCATGTTGGAACAATGGGAAAATATGTGGAACAAAGGTTTGAAATTTACATTGAGTTATAATTTAAAAGATTTTTTTTACAAAATGATGTAGCACTGGTATTTAACTCCTGATAAGTGATCAAAAATGCATACTGGTATAACAAATGCTTGTTGGAAATGTTCACAGGGTGAAGGAACCTCTTATCCTCTTTGGTGGACTTGTGAAAAGGCTAAAAAATTTTGGGACCAGATATGCATTGCTATTCAAAAGATTCTTAAAGTGAGCATTCAAAAAAACAAAACAAAACCAGAACTGTTCCTGTTGGGTTTGATGGAGAAAGGACTGGAGAAACAACATGGAACTTTGCTTCTATACATGACCGCAGCTGCAAGACTGTTATACGCGCAAAGATGGAAGGACTCACAAATACCTACAGTAGAAGTATGGATTATCACATTAATGGATTTGGCTCAAATGGCAAAGTTAACAGCATTAATAAGAGATAATACTGTTTCTAACTTTGTCTCCTCATGGCAACCCTTCCTAGATTACATGCTTGGATGGGAAAAAAATGAAGCTTTGATTGTGGGATTTAATGATTAGATGGTTTGTGCTGGTAGAAATAATGTGAATTTGGATTAATTAGTGGTAAGAGATTAACCTTTTTTAAAATTTGTACTCATATCTGTATTGGAGATAGTCGGAAGTCACCTTCCGTTTCATCTTTCTATCTGTTCTCACTATCTTAATTTTTGTCTTTTTCTTTTAGTTCTATCGTCTCTCTTTTCTATACTTTCTGATTTGTATTTTAACTGTGCTTTTTATGTATCTTAATAAAAGTTTTAATAAAAAAAATTATGGGCTTTGACCAGCCTTTACAGTAGAAAAAAAGAAACAGTTTAATACAACAATTTGTTATCAGGAAAAAGAAAAAAACAATAAAGCAACATATCTAATTAAAAGTTTTGCACAATTGTATGACTTGATAAAGATATTTGGCCACCTGGTATGTGAGTGTAGAGTTAGCATCTCTTAAAAATTAATAAACATAAAATCTATCAGTACGACCCTCAAATTTAGAGATGACTGGGGAGATCAAAGCATGTCTTCGGGCACCATTAAAAAGAACACCATATGAGGACATGGACAAGAGTTTTTATCTCCCTGAATCCACAAGGGCAAAGTCTCTGTAAATAAGTAGTCCCATAAAATCTTCCTGCCAGCAGTGCTGAAGGAAGGGCATCAAAATGGGCTGTGGAAAAGGCCCATCTATATTTGCTTAGGATTAGATTGTGTAGATACACCACAGTAGAGGGTTTGTGGGTATCTAACATTTGGCAGTAGAATTCAGGAGCACTGGTGATATTGTTTTGGTGTTCAATGTCCCTAATTCTTTCTTTTACTATTGATTTGGTCTTCTCAGGGTTAATTGGCCTAAATATTCAGGAGAGAGGCCAAGATTGCAAAGTTCTTCTATACAGGTACAGGGCCAATGAGATTGGTAGCTTTCTGACAACAGCAGAGGCATCAGGCCAGTAGGATGAAACATGATTCTGTGTCTTGAGATTAGAATCCAGGTCCAGGCCTGGGTCTTAATACTTGGCACATTGCTTCAAGGCTCAAGACTGCATTGGGGTGCATTTTGGGGTACCAAAGTCCTAAGGAAATTCAGTTGAATGATTTCATAAGCCCTTAGGT